GTTCGGGAGTCTTTGGAGGAACTGATGGGACCAGTTCTGGAGTCTTTGAAGGAACTAATGGGACCAGTTCGGGAGTCTTTGGAGGAACTGATGGGACCAGTTCTGGAGTCTTTGAAGGAACTAATGGGACCAGTTCGGGAGTCTTTGGAGGAACTGATGGGACCAGTTCTGGAGTCTTTGAAGGAACTAATGGGACCAGTTCGGGAGTCTTTGGAGGAACTGATGGGACCAGTTCTGGAGTCTTTGAAGGAACTGCTGGGACCAGTTCGGGAGTCTTTGAAGGAACTGCTGGGACCAGTTCTGGAGTCTTTGGAGGAACTGCTGGGACCAGTTCTGGAGGTTTTGAAGGAACTGATGGGACCAGTTCTGGAGTCTTTGGAGGAACCAATGGGACCAGTTCTGGAGTCTTTGGAGGAACTGCTGGGACCAGTTCTGGAGGTTTTGAAGGAACTGCTGGGACCAGTTCTGGAGTCTTTGGAGGAACTGCTGGGACCAGTTCTGGAGTCTTTGAAGGAACTGCTGGGACCAGTTCTGGAGTCTTTAGAGGAAGTGCTGGGATCAGTTCTGGAGCCTTTGAAGGAACTGCTGGGACCAGTTCTGGAGTCTTTGGAGGAACTGATGGGACCAGTTCTGGAGTCTTTGGAGGAACTGCTGGGACCAGTTCTGGAGTCTTTGGAGGAACTGCTGGGACCAGTTCTGGAGTCTTTGGAGGAACTGATGGGACCAGTTCTGGAGTCTTTGGAGGAACTGCTGGGACCAGTTCTGGAGGTTTTGTTGTCTCATTCTGGTCTGATGGAGGACTCTCTCCAGTCCAGGATGGAGCAGATGATCTAAAACCTGTACATGTTTCTGGAGTCGTTCCAGATGTGTCAGCTGCCAGAGGCACTAATGCACCCCCATCCCATCAGAGAGGCAGACGTTGGAACAATGCGGTGATATCAGACTTGCTGATCCCTCTCCTCTTCAGTCCTGAGGATGTGATGTTTCAGATTTGGACCCGTGACGTCAGAACGGTTCTTCTGTCTGTTTATTGGTTCAGTGAAGACAGCAGCTGTTCTTCTTTGTCTGATAGAGCTTTAAGCAGCAGTGATTTTAGAACTGAACCAGAGCCTGTTTTTAAAACAGTGAAGATCACTACCTTCCAATAGATTCTTTGAACTCAGAGATTAATACAGATTATAATAATCTGCTGATCAGATTATAGACGATTGAAAGTCTTCAGAGTTTCCTGTTGAGGAACTTTATTCTGAAACTCAGATCTGATCTTCTACAAGTCTCTTTTTATCTCCAGTCCTCTGACTGACCTGGATTATTAATCTGACAGATTGTTGTTGACATCAAAAACTAAATTAACAGATTATTTTCCTACAACGTTTCTTAGTTTAAACATTTAATAAGTTTATTATGTTCCACTAAATATGTTCTGTTTTTATTTACATTTTACACAAAGTCCCAACATTGTTGTGGTTGTATTGTTTGTATTGTTTGTTTATTTGTTTATTTGTTTTTGTTTGTTTTTTGTATTGTTTGTTTGTTTTGTTTGTTTGTATTGTTTGTTTGTTTTGTTTGTTTTGTTTGTTTGTATTG